GTATTCTTCAAGTAGCACCAATTCTCTTTTGTTCTTACACCGTTGTTTTGAAATACTTTTTTTTTCGTTTGCATCTGTACTTCTATCTATTTTAATCTACTGTCATATTATAATTCATGTTTATCTACTTGTTAATAACCTTCTTGCCTTCTGCTTTTGATTTTAGACTCGGGTATTGTAACCATTCAGAAATATTACCCTTTAATGAGGTTACAGTTTAAAGACCATTGTAGCATTTGGTGTACGGATCACTGTAGCACCAGCTGTGACTTGCTTTTATCCTCTTCGCCACTGATGGGCTTGTTAGCCGCTTGGGCGATCGGTCACGTCTCTTTTCATTTATCTTCTTCACCAAAAGATCGGCTCGCTAGCCGCCCGGGCGATCGGTCACGTCTCTGTCACGCACTGTTGGCAAATACTGGGCATGCACCGGCTCCTGAATGTACCTGAACCCGCTCCAGTATTGGTCAAGTCTTGTCTTGAAAGAGCTCACACTCGGTGCCGTCACAACACTCAATGGTAGATTGTTCCAAGAGTTTACAACCCTCGCTCCGAAAAAGTTTGCCCTCACTGTTTTCTGGACTTGCGGCTTCTTCAATCTTGAGCTGTGACCCCTTGTGGGGCGACCGTCCGCCAGCTCCAAGTAAGGACACTCAACTGAGTAGTGCCCCCTGAGATGCTTATACACCTCAACTAGGTCCCCCCTTGCCCGTCTGTGGTATAAGCTAGGCAAGTTCAGGCGCTCCAATCTCTCAGGGTAGCTGAGGTGCCGAAGTGCAGGCACCAGTCTGGTGGCCCTCCTCTGAACATTTTCAACCAACTGACAGTCCCTAGCATATCTCGGGGACCAGATGGGGTGACAGTACTCCAGATGGGGAAGCACTTCACTCCTGAAGATCGTTACAAGGGACGGACCTAAACGACCTTCTTATAAGACCCAATAATTTATTTGCCTGATTTACCTTCTTCTCGCAATGGCCCGAGAACTTCAGCTCATTGTCAACATACACACCTAGGTCCTTCTCACACACAGTCTCAACTAGTGCAGTTTCTTCATCCCATTGGGACATATGATACGCCTCCTTACCGTTGGTACGCCCCAGGTGCATCCTCTTACACTTCGTGACATTGAATCTCAGCAGCCATTTCTTCGACCATTCCTGGAGCCCACAGAGGTCCTTCTGCAGCTCTTCACAGTCCGCTTGGTTCTTAATTTCCCGAAATAACTTGGCGTCATCGGCAAACATTTGTATGGAGGAGTGTACAACGTCAGGCATGTCATTTATGAAACAAACAAACAACAGCGGGCCCAATACACTGCCCTGTGGTACCCCACTTGTTACAAGTACAGATATCGATTTCGTGCCATTAATCACCATACACTGCTTGCGGTCATGTAGAAAGTCTTCTATCCACGCTAGAACATTTCCCCGAATTCCGTACCCTTCCAGTTTGATTTTCAGCCTTTCGTGGGGTACACTGTCGAAAGCCTTGGCAAAATCTAGGTTAATATTACCATCCCGTTCCAGAATATGGGTCCAAATATCCAATACCTTGAGCAATTGTGTCAAGCAAGAGCGCCCCGGCATAAAGCCGTGTTGGCAATCTTTTACAAGGTTGTTTCGTATTAAATGTTCCATTGCGGCATCTCTGATAATACTCTCAAGTACTTTACATATTATGCTGGTCAGGCTCACCGGTCTATAGTTGTTCGTGGAGTGACGATCGCCCTTCTTGAAGATAGGACTCACATAAGCCACTTTCCATTCACTGGGGACCATTTGTTCATCCAGGCATTTACAAAACAGGATCTTCAGGGGCTCTGCAAGCTCGTTGCACAACTCTCTTAGCACTCTAGGATGCACCATGTCAGGGCCGGGACTCTTATGGACCTTTAGCCTGGACAGTTTATTTCTAATACCCTCTTCTGTGAACACAATGTGGGTCAGTGCTGTGTCGAACCGTCTGTCCTCAAACGCAGGAAGGTTAGTTGCATCCTCTCTTGTGAACACTGAGGAAAAGAAGCTGTTCAATGCCTCAGCTTTATCCTGGTCAGAATCTGCGTAACTACCATCCACCAGCCTCAGGTCTGATACTCCTACTCGCGTTTTCAATTTCGACTTTGCATAGCGGTAAAACGCCTTTGGGTTTGACTTGACCTCGCTTGCAACCAGCCTCTGGAACTCCTTTTCAGCCCTCCTAGACTCTATCTTTGCTTGGTTTCTGGCTCTTGCATACATCCTCCTGTCTTGCTCATCGTTTGACCCAACCCAAGTCTTGAATTTCTGGGTTTTCTTCTTAATTTTGTCGACCGCCGCATGGTTCATGTGTAGTGATCCCCTCGTATTCCTAGAAGCACTGGGTTTGGTCTTGGGTATATATTTATCGATCAAATGGGTCATTTTACTAGTTATGATATTCAGCGTAGTGTCTGCGTTCTTGTACCTTAATAAGTCAGGCCAGTTGATACCCCTCATCTCTTCCCTCATCCCAGTGTAATTTCCCTTGTAATATTTGCACCTTGGCCTGGCCTTATCTTGAACTAGGTAACAGTTAAATCTGAATGACAACACTGTATGGTGACTGGTGCCAACTGGGGCAAGGTGTTCCAGTTTGGCCACCATACCCTCCTCGTTTGTTATGATGAGGTCAAGTGGCTTGGGTGTTTGCTCCCCTCTGTAATGTGTCGGGTCTCTAACATGTTGGAACAGAAAATTATCTCTCAGAGTTTCTACGAAAAGAGTAGCAGGGTTATTCAAGTCATTCGGGGTGGACTCGTTTCTCCAGTCGATGTCGCCATAGTTAAAGTCCCCCATGATAAGGAGGTGGCTAGGGTTGAGCATCGCCGCATTGTTTATTAAGGTTCTTAAGTTCCTTTGATTTAGTGGGCCACAGTTTGGGGATCTGTAGATACACCCGACGATAAGTAAGTCCCCTCCCTTTAATTTAATTTTACACCACTTGGACTCTTCAAAAACATCCTCTCCCTGTACCCTCGCCTGGCTGGCTCTAAGGTCTTGCCTAGCGTAGATAACCACACCCCTTTGCAAGTTTCTTGAGATAGGTTCGTAAATGAGTCATATCCAGCAATACTGAACTCACATTCCTCTGGGTCGATTCTCCTGTTCTTGTACAACAGTTCTACAACTCCTACAATATCTGGTTGGTGTACTCTTAGTAGTGTTTCAAACTCCTCCCTCTTATCAAGGAACGTGTCAGTGTTAGTGTATATGACATTCAAGCCAGAATTTGTTCTCGGTAACGTCTCTGCTCTTAGTAATAAACCCGCTCCCCCCACATTCTCAGAAGCTGCAGCATTTGCTAAGTGCACTGTATTTTGCAGGGTGTGGTTAGTTCTCTATAATGAAACATGAATTTAGAGTTATTGCGTAAAGTTACTGAAGCTTTATCTGCCTTCCCAGTTCATCGTAACGCCCCAAATGTATAGAACACATTAATGTCAAATTTTCTATAAATTATAACTTCACATAAGGTGATCGAGAAAACCGATCGAAGCCGCCGTCTCATTGTGTAAAGATGGACAAACAAAACTCAATCGAAATATATTTCCGACTGGACAAAATCCTACCACCAGAATAACAGAATGGACAAAATCTCACCAGTTGTCTTTAGTTTTAATACTGTCTTCGATTGGCTTAGGTTAGGTTAGATTACGTTAGGTTAGGTTGGGTTAGGTTTGGCTTGGTTAGGTTTCGTCTCACAATCCCATTCTAGGGAAATTCGCTACGGCCATAATATAGATTACCGCAACATAAAACGACCTATTTCTGCCATTGTAACGTCAAGTATTGTTCATCCTGTAGACCTCATATTTTTTTTAATTCTCCATTATGTATAATGAATCATTGTTGCGTCACTTCATCAGATTCCCACAGCTTATTTGTATGAATCGAATAATTGCAGGTCTCAATTGTTCCTCTTTCTGTGACAACACAACATACATATATCGTTTCTCACTAGTATTGATTTTTTTTCATTTTTGTATTTCTTTATGGTTCATTATTATTATTATTATTACAGTGTTATTATTATTATTATCATTATTGTTTTATTATTTTATTTTTAATTTTGTATTTTTATTAAAAATTTTATTTACTATGAATTATTATTATTATTATTATTATTATTATTATTATTATTATTATTATTATTATTATTATTATTATTATTAAATTTTCGCCCCCCAGGCCCCGCGATGTTGGTCAATGACATGCCCGGGTGGGCTAATCCCGTAAAAAAAAAAAAATATATATATATATATATATATATATATATATATATATATATATATATATATATATATATATATATATATATATATACACAGTATAGGGATGGACGTATACATACGCACTGGAGACACATGTGACCTAGACTACTGGAGGCATGTCTGATCTAAATGACTGGTGTTATTTGTGAATCAGGTCAGTGAAGAAACTTAATTTATATCACTGGTTACACCTGACAGCCTGGATAGATCACCGGTGACAGATAAACTATAGATAAAATTAGACACAAGAACTTAATAAACTAATGGAGAATATGGACTCAAGAACGTGGACTCTACTAAATTCCCTGAGGGCTTAAGATGATTGTATCGTGTGGGTCAGGGGGATCATTCGACACGCGGGGAGGGGCGGGATCCTTCGACGCGGACGTACTGAAGGAGAAACATTCATCTGAAGCTGCCAGTTGATATTATCAAAACTGGGAAAAAATGGGTGCGAGACCTCAATTGCGAACCCTGTAATATTTAGACACCTCCCAAAATTTCATAAGATTACATGCCCGAGAGAAAACCATAACATAAGCATAGCTCGTCGAGAAACTATATGGTGTTTCAAGTTCCGCTGACGTATAGAGTGGTGTTAGGAATGTGCTAAAGGCGGTAGGCCCGGGACAACTGCGGGGTGCCTAAAGAAGGTTCAAGGAAAGGGCAGAGTGGGAGGGATGGTAAGCGGCGCGGGTATATAAGGTGGCGGTCGACAAGGAGCAAGCACACAATCTCCCAGCGAGTGACTGCAACATGCGAGCTCTGGTGGGTACACTTAGTGTTAACTGTTAGTGACAATTGAATTTTATCCGTAAGCTGCTTGTGTCTATTTGATCTCTTGGATGTACTCTTAAGTGTGCTCTCTAAAATATGGATTATTGTGAAAGTCAGTTTTGCTAATGTTAAAGCTCATCTTTTAGCGATAATGGGAAATTGAAGTTGCAATGTGACTAGTTTTAAATCTGGTAACAAATGTGGCTCTGTTCAGTAGATAATACACGGTATCTCAGAAGTTCGAATGCATAAGAAAAGTTTTTTCACGTTATTTTTTTTATTCTAAATGTTCTATTTGAAAACCATTGGCAAGTAAACACTTATCTATTCTTTCATGTAAGGTTCCTTCGAATGCTTTTTTAAGTGACATTTTATCAGAATAAAAGGATAACATTCTATGGGTTTTGGACTTTCCATACGCCCTGTTTTTGTTGTGCTATTTAACGGACAACTTATGCAGTAAAGAAAATTTTCAGGCTATAAATGATAAAGCTAACTCCATTTGTTAGATGTAAAATCTCTCCTGACCATCGAATTTCCTTTATTTATTGCACCAAATCATACTGCATTTTCGTTGTTCTACTCGATATATTAGTCTATCACAATAAAAGATGTAATACAGTGTTTATTAGACATGATTACATGATTATTCATAATATATATATATATATATATATATATATATATATATATATATATATATATATATATATATATATATATATATATATATCGATAAAACCACACATGAAAAGGGAAACAATGGAGCACCCTAGCTTTCGTCTTTATTCAAGACATGTAATCATGTCTAATAAGCATTGTATTGTTCGTAAGGGGAAACTTGCACACGTGTCACCTTCGTGTCAGCCCCGGCAGGAGTGAAGGTCAAGCCAGTCTGATGCAACATTTTACTAAATGAAATACAAAAAATACACTTTCACTACGGTTTTAGTGCGCAGGTTTGTGTCCAGTTCTAGGTATATCTCGCCATTTCTAACAGCTTTTCTTAGTAATGTTTCCGTCGCAAATAATTCGTTTTCGAGAAAATCGCATTAATTTGTTAAATTATGGGCAAATGTAAAAATTTACCGATTATCGCTTGAAAACGCCAAAATTAGCCCAATCTTATGAATCTCGCAAATTTCAATTTTATACAACCTCGTGCCTTGTCTTATTATTTCCGCGAATGAGCAATTTGTAAAATAGAACTGCATCATTGTATCATTACATCCCCGAATTAGCTCACATTGTTGTAATCACATGGCCTCCTTGTTGTATCCCTAATGTACACGCGATAACTCTTCATAAGGTTGATTGGTTTTCATGAAACTTAGTCGCGACATTATTCCTCCAAATGTCCATACTAGTTCAGTGTGTCAGGGGAAATATTGACTATCTGATTTGGGCGAGTCATTACACGTGAAATCTGGTTATTTAAGCCCTGCTTTTATTCTGATGTGGATGAACAGGACTGGGACAGTGAGGTAATGGTTTACTGTATTGCTTGCATTCGCAGGCCATTAATTCTAGTTTGTCGTAAAGCTATACTTTTCCGTGTTTTCTACAGTGGAAATTCGATTAAGTAATTTTGGACTTTCTCTTACTTTTTAATTAATTTTATCCTCTTCGCCACTGATTGGCTCGTTAGCCACTTGGGCGGTCGGTCACGTCTCTGATACGCATTGTTGGCAGATACTGGGAATGCACTGGCTGCTGAATATATCGGAACCTGCTCCAGTGTTGGTCAAGTCTGGCATTTAAAGGTGATCACGCTCGGTGCCGTCACAACGCTCTCTGGCAGATTGTTCCAAGAGTTCACAATTCTCACTCCTAAATAATTTGCCCTCACTTTTCTGGACTTATGGCTTCTTCACCCATGAGCTGTGACCCCTTGTGGGGCGGGCATCCGCCAGCTCCAGGTATGTACAATGAAAGACAAAAGTTGTGTCGTGAAATTTGGTGAAAACATATGCCGAAGGGCTAAACCTTTGGTACGCTCTGCCTTGTGGTAGGGGGCTATCATAATGTTTCATAAGTTATATTTAATCTTCGGACAAAACCGCTACACGACTTTTGTCTTTGATTGTGCTTTCAACCGAGTAGTGCCCCCTGAGATGTGCATACTCTTCGATTAGGACGTCCCTCGTCCGTCTGTAATATAAGCTTGGTAGTTGCAGTTGGTTCAAGCTTTCTGGGTAACTGAGGTTCCGTAGAGCAGGCAGCAGTCTGGTGGCCCTCCTTTGGACATTTTCAATCAATTGACAGTCTCTAGCAAACCTCGGGCTCGGGAACCAGACAATACTCCACGCCACTATTCTTTTCTCATGATAAACTTATATTTAGCATATGATGTCTATCCCCCATTCCCTAGTCATCTTTGGAAACTACTTTCACGTTGTCCAATTCATATGAAATTTGGAAAGGAAGGGATTTAACAAATTTTGGTTAAACGTAATCACTTTATCTACATTATTTTTGTGTTCTTTACTGCTGACACTTCTAGCCCGTCGGATACTAGCACAATATTCAAATAGTTAGTCTTAATATTGTTATTGATATTGCCATTCTTATTTTGTTTTCATTTAATTGCCTTTACTTGATGAAGGCGTTGAGCTTGCGTAATTAAATGTTACTTGTTGTAATCTTATTGCTATCTCTTATACTTGTGGTCAGAAAATGATGGGTTTTCTTCCTTACAGTTCCTTCTGTCACTGTTCCTGGCTGCTCAGGCAGCGCCACTTGTCGGGCCTGAGGGTGATGCCCCTGTAGTAGCCGACTCGGAGGTGTCCCTATCACAACCAGCTGAAGCTCCTGCAGACACTGGGGTTGTAGAACCGGCAGTTGAAGTTGAACTTGCTGTTGACGAAGCGGGTTCAACTGTGATGGTAGAAGCACAAGAAACCGCCCCAGTAGAAGAGACTGCTGCAGATGAGGCCATTGAAGCTAAGGAAGCTGTTCCAGTTGAGGAGACTGCAGCAGCTGAAGAGACTGCTCCAGTTGATGCCATTGAAGCTCAAGAAGCTGCAGCAGCTGAAGAGGCTGCTCCAGTTGAGGCCATTGAAGCTCAGGAAGCTGCTCCAGCTGAGGAGACTGTAGAAGCTGAAGTGGCTGCTCCAGGTGAAGCCATCGAAGCTCAGGAAGCTGCTCCAGTTGAGACTGAAGAAGCTGTTCCAGGTGAGGCCATTGAAGCCCAGGAAGCTGCTCCAGGTGAAGCCATCGAAGCTCAGGAAGCTGCTCCAGCTGAGGAGACTGCAGCAGCTGAAGTGGCTGCTCCAGGTGAAGCCATTAAAGCCCAGGAAGCTGCAGCTGAGGAGACTGCAGCAGCTGAAGTGGCTGCTCCAGGTGAAGCCATTAAAGCCCAGGAAGCTGCAGCTGAGGAGACTGTCCCAGCCGAGGAGACCACAGCAGCTGAGGAGGCTGCAGCAGCTGAAGTGGCTGCTCCAGGTGAGGCCATCGAAGCTCAGGAAGCTGCTCCAGCTGAGGAGACTGTCCCAGCCGAGGAGACTACAGCAGCTGAGGAGGCTGCAGCAGCTGAAGTGGCTGCTCCAGGTGAGGCCATCGAAGCTCAGGAAGCTGCTCCAGCTGAGGAGACTGTCCCAGCCGAAGAGACTACAGCAGCTGGAGGCTGCAGCAGCTGAAGTGGCTGCTCCAGGTGAGGCCATCGAAGCTCAGGAAGCTGCTCCAGCTGAGGAGACTGTCCCAGCCGAGGAGACTACAGCAGCTGAGGAGGCTGCAGCAGCTGAAGTGGCTGCTGCCCAGGTGAGGCCATCGAAGCTCAGGAAGCTGCTCCTGAGCTGAGGAGACTGTCCCAGCCGAGCTGAGAGGAGACTGTCCCAGCAGGAGACCACAGTAGCTGAGGAGGCTGCAGCAGCTGAAGTGGCTGCTCCAGGTGAGGCCATCGAAGCTCAGGAAGCTGCTCCAGCTGAGGAGACTGTCCCAGCCGAGGAGACTACAGTTGAGGAGGCTGCAGCAGCTGAAGTGGCTGCTCCAGGTGAGGCCATTGAAGCTCAGGAAGCTGCTCCAGCTGAGGAGACTGTCCCAGCCGAGGAGACTACAGCAGCTGAGGAGGCTGCAGCAGCTGAGGTGGCTGCTCCAGGTGAGGCCATCGAAGCTCAGGAAGCTGCTCCAGCTGAGGAGACTGTCCCAGCCGAGGAGACCACAGCAGCTGAGGAGGCTGCAGCAGCCTGCAGCAGGGCTGCTCCAGGTGAGGCCATCGAAGCCCAGGAAGCTGCTCCAGCTGAGGAGACTGTCCCAGCCGAGGAGCCGACTGTCCCAGCCGAGGAGACTACAGTAGCTGAGGAGGCTGCAGCAGCTGAAGAGGCTGCTCCAGGTGAGGCCATTGAAGCTCAGGAAGCTGCTCTAACCGAGGAGACTGTCCCAGCCGAGGAGACTACAGTAGCTGAGGAGGCTGCAGCAGCTGAGGTGGCTGCTCCAGGTGAGGCCATCGAAGCCCAGGAAGCTGCTCCAGCTGAGGAGACTGTCCCAGCCGAGGAGACCACAGCAGCTGAGGAGGCTGCAGCAGCTGAAGTGGCTGCTCCAGGTGAGGCCATCGAAGCTCAGGAAGCTGCTCCAGCTGAGGAGACTGTCCCAGCCGAGGAGACTACAGCAGCTGAGGAGGCTGCAGCAGCTGAGGAGGCTGCAGCAGCTGAAGAGACTGTTCCAGGTGAGGCCACTGAAGCTCAGGAAGCTGCTCCAGCTGCGGAGACTGCAGCAGCTGAAGAGGCTGCTCCAGTTGAAGCCATCAAAGCTCAGAAAGCTGCTGCAGTTGAGGAGATTCCACTTGAAGAATCTGTTCCAGCTGCTGAACCTACCCAAGCTGAAGAGGCCCCAGGAAATGAGGTTACAGGAGATGAAGCTGTAGCAGCTTCAGAGATCGTTTCTGCCACACCTACTGTCATCTCTGTTGGAACTCCTGTTGTCACTAAGGCCAGTGTTACCCCAGCAGCTACAAACCTTGTGAACCCCGTGATGAGGGTAGACCCACGCTACCAAAGCTTCATCTATCCCAACGACGCCCCTGACATTGTGGCAGCCAAGATTGTCTTCTTCAACCACCATGCTGCTCGCCTGCCAACCCTCCCTACCATCTAAACTATCAAGTTTTGACTGATCCATTCAGTGGTAAGTTATTTGCCTAAAATTTAATTCAATATTGGATATACCCAAAAAGCCTAATCATGAAACGGCATCATTTGCAGCAATTTAAAATCTGCAGATGAAAGGTGTATAATATTTAAATTATCCATGTAATCACTCCTTGTACAATAATAAAATCTCACTTCCCTCATTTTTCTGAGCATAAATACAGGTACTAAAAGGGTTGGACCTTCTGATGTTCTTATTATCACTGGCATTTGCCTTTCTTTTTAAAAGGAATTGTATATTTGAACTTTAACATATTGAGAGGATGTGAGGCATAATAAGTGAATCAAAATTGTATATAAATGCAAATTATTAGTTTAAGTCATTGTACATATCATGTTCACGACTTTGTAAATATTGTAGGTGGAAACCAGCTTGGTACTGTCATATAATATTAACTACAGTAGTATTGCTCATCTAGTCGTAGAATGAAGATAGGGGGACTGACTTTATGAAGAGTAGCAAGGTGGCCCAGATGTAAGGGCACAGTGAGTACAAAGGTGTAAAAAGAATAATACGTATTACCTTCATGGTGATCAGGTATGGCATCATATGTACAGTAATTTCTATCAACGTGATGTGTGATGACAGTGGCATCTTTGTATATAGCTTGGGAAACTTAAAATAAGCTGGCCTGTATCAGCTCAAACTGCTCAATATTTCCTCTATTTCTTGTGTCGGAAGTCAGGAATCATGAGTGACTATGACGGAGGAGTACTGGCTGTATAGTGGAACTCCTTTACAAGGTGGCCGATACTGGCAGCGTCCTACCGCTGGGAGATTGTCACTCATATCTCTGGTTCTTGCTCCCATTTGCTAAACCTTTGCTCTCAAATTCTAATGACATATACAGTACTGTACTGAATAAATATTAAATTTTGATTTAACTGAGCAAGATTTAGCAAATGAACATAAAACAAGTATTCTCAGCTTAGTAGACCCATAGCAATTGTAAATATGGTTGTGTTCTTAAAAAATTTACCTTTCTGTAGATGCTTAAAGGATATGAACTTGTCCTTGATGTGAAAGATGGAACACAGAGTATTATTTTCAAAATAAAGTGCTAAATAATAAGATGTCTGAATTTTATTTTATTATCTGTGAACACCATTTGCTTACTCAAAAGCAATCTCAAATAAGCTCCTATAAAAAAATAAATAAATAATGCAGTAACATGATAAATGATAACTAATGCATCACCCCAGTTTAAAACATCAATCATCAGTTTAATGTCTAAAGTGACATTAGCCAAACCATGACTGGCCAAAGTGAAAGGAAAAGAGAGAAAGTATCCTTCAGGTCCCAGTCACAAGTTTCCTGTTTAATTACAGGGCTAAATGCAACCCACATCGTAAGGCCATGAGGACAAATAGTTTCTTGTTGACTGTAAGGTCAATCACACAGACACATACATCTCTTTGCTGTTACCTTGAGTCGAGTACTGTATAACATATAAGTACAGTACTGTACATACATACAGGACGAGTATGGGATACACAGTAAACTAGCCATCAATCATAGCAAATTCAAAATGTATAAACAACAAAATAGACTTTTAAAATAATGTCTGTTAATTTATTTCAATATTTTGCTTGTTTCATATTTATCAAAGCTTCTAGGCTGTTGCTGGATGACCCTTACAAATACCCTCTTCTCAAGTAAAAGAAAAAATATATATTAACTCTTCCGGTTGCACTAGTTTAACTGGCTATCCTTAAAGATATTCTATTACCGCCCCAAGAAAGTTGTATTTCATATTTCTGTGTTTCTAAAGGACTGAGTGGGTGTATAAAATCCGTTATTCATAGCAAAATGCAATGTACATAGAGATAGCACATAAATACGGACAACAGGGCCGGATTCAGGAGTGGGCAAAGTGGGCAGCTGCCCAGGGGCCTCCACAATCTGGGGGCCTCCACATATTACAATATTTTATTTATTTGTTTATTCATTTGGATTATTTTTATTTTCATTCTTTAAAATTCATGTTTATCTATTCCATCACGTTGAGACTGTGTATGTGAGAAGGACCTAGGAGTGTATGTTGACAATGAGCTGAAGTTCTCGGGCCATTGTGAGAAGAAGGTAAATCAGGCAAATAAATTATTGGGTCTTATAAGAAGGTTGTTCAGATATCTAGACGGTCCGTCCCTCGTAACGATCTTCAGGAGTGAAGTGCTTCCCCGAGTGAAGTGCTTCCCCATGTGGAGTACTGTCACCCCATCTGGTCCCCGAGATATGCTAGGGACTGTCAGTTGGTTGAAAATGTTCAGAGGAGGGCTGCCAAACTGGTGCCTGCACTTCAGCACCTCAGCTACCCTGAGAGATTGGAGCGCCTGAACTTGCCTAGCTTATACTACAGACGGGCAAGGGGTGACCTAGTTGAGGTATATAAGCATCTCAGGGGGCATTACTCAGTCGAGTGTCCTTACTTGGAGCTGGCGGACGCTCGCCCCACAAGGGTCACAGCTCAAGACTGAAGAAGCCGCAAGTCCAGAAAACAGTGAGGGCAAACTTTTTTGGAGTGAGGGTTGTAAACTCTTGGAACAATCTACCAGAGAGTGTTGTGACGACACCGAGTGTGAGCTCTTTCAAGACAAGACTTGACCAACACTGGAGCGGGTTCAGGTACATTCAGGAGCCGGTGCATGCCCAGTATTTGCCAACAGTGCCTGACAGAGACGTGACCGATCGCCCGGGCGGCTAGCGAGCCGATCTTTCGGTGAAGAAGATAAATGAAAAGAGACGTGACCGATCGCCCAAGCGGCTAACAAGCCCATCAGTGGCGAAGAGGATAAAAGTAAAAAGAAGCGTGATAGAAATTAGGCTAGCTACTCCTTGAAATTCATGAATACCTGGTTTTCCTATGAACCGTATATTTTTAATGAATGCTATTGTTTGTGTTGCTAATAATATATTTAGAATTCCACAAACATATATTGATTAAAAATGAACTACACCTAGACCCCGACTTACGACTACGTGGACTTACGACCGCCTCAGATATAGATAAAAAAAAAAAAAAAAAAAATCTAAAATTTTTTAAATGACACACGCATTTTCTATACCGAAACGTTTCCAGTTAATGTAGTCTCCACGTATAATTAGAAAATTATGGGGCCCCATGTCCATTCAGCTGACTACATTAAAGGTTAAGTGCTCAGTCACACTGTATCCATTCCTTATTATTTATTACTTTCACTGTACTGTATCCATTCATCATTATTCATTACTTTTACTGTACTGTATTTCATTGTAGATTTAAAAAAAAAAAAAAAAAAAATTTATCTATGTCGGACTTACGACCATATGGACTTACGACCTGGATTTGGGTCCCTAACCCCGTCGTAAGTCGGGGTCTAGGTGTATACTGTAATATATTAAACACACTGTAATTATTTTCTTTAATTTATAAACTTGTTTTGCGACAAAGGAATGTTCTCCAGTAGTGTTTCAATAGGATTTGAGTGAAAAAATATTACGTACTTACTACATACATTTATTACACAAACATATTTATATATACTGTATGTATACATACATACACATGCACACATTTAATTTACTAAGTCACAATATTTTAAAAGCAAATTACCCGACAAGTTAAAAATTTTATTAGCACATGATTATTACTGACGTCATCATGTATTAAAAACCTTCAAAATCCACATCATCAACATCTGATATCATAAGTTCTTCAAGTACATCCTGAGATACATTTATGGCTGCTTCATCATAAGGATCAAACTCCAAATCAGATGACGTGGCTTCGGCTTCTGTTTCATCCTCGTCCTCCCACAACATATCATCCTCCATGCCATCCATTGAATTAGATATTCCGCACTTTTTAAAAGACTTGATAACTGTTTCCACATTAATATCATTCCATGCCTTGATAACAAAATCACACAGTACATCCAGTTCGGGAGCACGCATATTCCCACCTTTCGTGTAAGACTTTTTGCCGCTGATCATCCACTTGTTCCATTGTTCACGAACGCGGTCCTTGAATGGTTTGTTTAGACAAACATCAAGTGGTTGTACAACTGAAGTTAATCCACCAGGAATAACTGCAATGTCACTGTTGTTCCTCGCCATGCTGGTTTTTGTTCCCTCTGTTAAATGACTCGCGAACATATCCCATACTAAGAGGCTACGCTGTTTTCGAAAGCCACCAGGTCGCCTACACCATATATGATCAATCCATAACTTTATTCCTTGTTCGTCCATCCGCCCTTTCTCGTTGACGTGAACAAAAACTCCAGCCGAGAACTTGATTTTGGGCATTGTTTTCCTCTTGAGAATTAGCATTGGGTTCAACTTGGTTCCGTCTGCCATGCATGAAAGTACTACTGTAAACCGTGTCTTTTCGTGTCCTGTTGTTTTCACTAACACTGTTTTTGCACCCTTTGTATCAACAGTATGATTACCGACCATGTCGAAGCTCATAGGTGTTTCATCCATGTTCCCGATGTTGCTTAATGGATAACAATGTTTCTTACGTTGTTGTATTATGTAGCGATGGAAATTAACAATTTTACAGTTAAGATCTGCTGGTAATTTTTGTGCTATTTTTGTCTGCCTCAGTACCAGATTGCTTCTTTCCATAAAACGGCTACACCATGAAGCCGTGGCTTTGAAGTCTTTGCTGTGCTCTTGATTTTGTTTAGCCCACTTAAGTGCCCACATACGTATCATGTTTCTTGATACAATATACCCATTTTGACGCTGCTCATGGACCATGTCTACTGCGTGCTTCTCTAGAATCGGCCAGTGTGCAGTGCCTCTTCTCATTGCACATTTATTCCTGGGCATACTTCGTAGTAAGTGTTCCTTTGATCTCCAATCCCGCATCATCTTCTCAGTTACACCGTATTCTCTTGAAGCAGCACAATTGTTGTGTGACTGGGCATATGCTATCACTTTCAGCTTAAAACAAGCTTCATATCTCCTGCGTTTAACAATTGGAGCCATGGTGAGGTTTTATGGAAGCTGGATACAGTATTAATATACTGTAGTATTCACACGGAGAGAGTGCTATTGCTTATGGAGTGATAACTCAACAACTGGACAAGGCAAATGAGAGAAGGGGTATCACGTTTGGGGATAGATAACATGACCTGAACGTGGTCACCTTACACATATATGGTAATCATTAAGAATCAAACTCCGAATCAGATGACCTGACTTCTTCTTCATCATTGTCATCCTAAATTTACCACTGTCGGTAGTTAAAAGAATTAAAAGTCATTTACTGAATATTCTATGTAAAAAAATAAATTTTAAATTAATTATTTATAGGAGAAAAGTATTATGATCAATAAATATATGGTATTACTGGCCACTTCAGACACAAAGACGGGATAAAAATAGCCCATCTCCCCCTCTTACAGCTGCCAATGGGAAGCGTCTTGGTAATTAAATTTGATGTTTATTTTCAGTTTGTCTAATTTATCATGTATCAAATTAATATTACTAAAAATTGTGTAGGTAGTAGGCAGCTACCAAACAGGGAGGTACTACTGCCTGGGAAGATATTGGAAGCATAATGTGTTGTCTAATGGTAGACCCTGCTGCTATATGGCATAACGAAAATTGTGACCAAGTCCCAGGTTGCTGACCTGACTTTCTGCCTCATTTACACACAATTGCAGTTTCAATTGTTCCTCTTACTTTGACAACACAACATACATACAGTATATTATTTCTCAGTTTTGATCTTTTTTTTTAATTTTTGTATTTATTTATAGTTAGTTACTTAAAATAAGGCCAATTCACTTCAAGTAATGGCATCAAATATTACCAGCTGGTGTAGTGTAAATATACCCGATACCGGTATGCATTATGATCACCTCAACTGACTAAAATATGGCAATCTACGCGGTCACTTTCCCTGCTTGTCTCCTCACTGCGGCAAATAGGTGGGGGGCGTGGGGAGGGGTGTGTGATGATAGCAACTGTGTTTATTACAGAATTTATGTTAGACAGGTTTATAACACATTTTTATTGATACCTTAATATACCGGTAATCTTAATTTGGAATCCAGCTTGCCAAAGCGTAAGTTTCGGTATAAAA